GCCCGTTTGACAGTGCTAACTACAGGCTTTGACAGCGACTGACAGGGAACGCCGCCCGTGTGTTGGGAATTTGATGCGTTCTAGGACGTCGCTTACTATCATGCAGTCGCAGGCCTTGATGTCCACCATGGGTTCGACCAACATCGCGTGGGTTGGGATCTTGGTAGGGCCCACAGTTTCGACCAAGGACGTGGAGCTGGCAGTGACCATCGATAGGGCCCATTTCGCTTGGACATCCTCAAATTCGACGGAGAGCAAGATGACAGGCCATTGTACGACGGTCCGCTGATTTTCGATGAGAAGCCTCAGGGCCCAGAGCATGAAGCTGGAATTGTTGCTATCAAAACCGTTGAACTCGATGTGATTTGTGGTGGCCGTACTGTGGAACATAGAGAATTCCAAGGGCATGAGTCTGGCAAATTTTTGTCATCTTTTAATCCATGTTTCATAACCCTTGAAGGTGGTGTTGCATATGGATATAAGAAACCTGAAGAAGACGAGTTTGATACGCAGTTATCTATGTTGAAGCAGTTTCATGAAGGAATGTGTGATATTGTCATTGTTGACGATGGTGAACTTTCGAGATATCTTCTCAGAAACAAAATGTTATTTATTGAATTGTGGTTCTGAAGTATTTGTTTGGATTAGCCAGGTTACTCAAGTTGAGGAAAGGAGAAGTGCCATCGAGCAGCCGAGGATTTTGTGGCTAGTCAAGGTAGATCACAATGAGAAATGACGGGAATTAGTACCATGGGTCGCCTCCACGCACCAGCCACATCAACGCGTAGGCTTCAAGGGCGAAGCCTTCTAAACCAGGGGTGAATGGTGTAGACTATTATTATTATTATTATTATTATTATTATTAATTGTTTTTATTTATCTTGGTTTGATGGACAAATTAAGGAATAGAGTTTATGAAAATCTTATTTAAAAGACTCCCCATCTATTAATTTAGGTGATTGATTTTGAAATGAAATAAATATTAATATCTATTTAGGTGTTTTTGAGATTTTGATCTCATTAATATCATCACACTTTCCAACATCATAAATTAGTTGTTACATACAATTCTGATATGTATTTAAATCATTCATTATGACATTTTTCCACATTCGCACACATTCAGAAAATAAAGATAGCGATCGAGGAACACCCTTACATTTTCTAAAAAATACAATCTTCTTTAAACCGAGAAGCGACATAACTGACATAAACTGATGTACGAAATTTTCGGAAAAAATAAGAGCCATTGCACAACTATAGAAGGATAAAAACGCATCATAGATTCAGATTATGCTATATTTGCAGTCACACAAGTTTACACAAGTTTACAGATAGTAAATAATGTATACTCCTGTGGAACAAAAGGTTAAAGACAGGCATTTGTCATAATCCTAACTCGCTTCTCTATTAGTGACAAAAGAACTAAACCAAGTCTTAGAGCAGCCGAAAGGATGTCTGTCGAGACATGTTGTGCAAATAATGGGTAATAACAACATGATTTGTTCTTAAAATCAGCATTAGCTGCTCCCAGCAAGGCTGAGAGGTAAGTGGAATCAACATGGCAAATGAATGCCAGAAGGGTTCCTAGTTAGCTGGATTATTTAGACAAGGTTCAAGCAGTACCAATATATCGACTCTCTTCTTCATTGTGTTGTCACACTTTTCGCAAGATTTCGAGGCTGATCAACATTGTATCCCCTTAAAACAGTTAGATGATATGCTAAAAGCTGCAGTTGCAAGAAAATTGTGTTAAAGAATAATCGTATAGATTAAACTCACTAAAGATTAAAAGTGACGAAAGAATTTCAAAATGATACTGAAGGTTGAAGGAAGTTTTCCATATAAAATATCAGGGACTAACTATAAGGAATCTGAATAGGGGATCTTATGGCGAATATTTTGATTTTTTATAAGGAAATCTGAATAGGGGATCTCGTGGAGAATATTTTGTTCCTTGTTTACAACAGCAGGGTTCATCCAAAATCAAATAAAACTGACATTTGTGTTTAGCCTTTGAAAGCCTTTTTCCTGTACCATTCTGTAAAGCTGAACAATGAACAACAAGAGCAAATATATTACCTGCAATGGAACTATGTTTATAACTGGCTGTAGGCAGTCCTCAACCTGAGGTACTTCAATTACTCGGCAAGACCCACCAACACAAACAGATGGTGCCTCGCCTTTTGTACACATCACTATGAGCCGCCCTTTCCGAGCATGAAGCTGCTGAATCACAGACTGCTGTTTGCTGTTGATCACCCAGAAAAAAATAAAAATAAAAAAATGAAAGAAACATAAGAAGTCAGCAATAAAAGTAAATAACTTTAACAGCATCTTTTTGTTGGGAGAAGTCTGACCTGAAACAAGCGTCACGGGTAGCAATAACAAGAATTGGAAGGTTTTCGTCAACTAAAGCCAACGGACCATGTTTCATCTCTCCAGCAAGTATTCCTTCACTGTGCATGAGTGCAACTTCTTTTACCTTCAGGGCACCTTCCAAAGCAGTTGCGTAATTATATCCTCTTCCGAAAACAAGAAGTGATTGCTCAGCAATCAATAACTTGGCGAGATCTTTCATTTCCTCGTCCAGCTTCAGAACCTCTTTCACATTACCTGCAATTTTATAAAAACAATGGCTATGGGTCACAAGATGCACATATCTTCAGGAGATTCAATAAAATGTGAAAAAAAAAAAAAAAAAAAAATACTGAGTATGAAAATGCATCAGACATACTCGGTAGATCGAATAGTCCATCTATTATTGCCTCCCTTCTTGCTCGACTTGAAATTGTGTCGTCTCCAATTGCAAGAGCCAACATTGCCATAACGACAATTTGGCTAGTGTACGCCTGTTCACGGTAAGTTCACTATCAAGATGAATACAGTTTCATGGCCCATTTTTTAGTTGTTTCTATTCATTCTTCAAACCTCGGGCTGTTGTAATTACAAAGAAAAGGAAAAAGACATATGCCATATATTTTACCTTAGTACTAGCTACACCTATCTCACAGCCAGCATTTATGTGAACACCGCAATGTGTATTCCTAGCAATTGCACTACCAACAGTATTAGTGATGCCAACACATAGGGCACCATTTTCCAATGCATACTCTAGTGCCTGCAAAGTATCTGCTGTTTCCCCTGATTGACTGACAAAAACAGTTGTATCTTCTCTGTAAATGGGCCCCTGCCTATCTAGCAGATCACTAGCAATCTCCATTGTTACAGGGATTCCTACAGCGAGAACACTTATTAGTAATAAAAGAAAACAAATATTTGCAGTCTATGATAAATATTGCCAACTGGACTAACCAGAGAGTTCTTCTAATATGGGCCGTGCAGCCAAAGCTGCATTATAACTCGTGCCACAGCCAATGAAAACTATCCTTCTGCTTCTCCTAATGGTTTTAAGGTGGTCCTTTAACCCTCCCAAAAGGACACTCTTGGCTTTACATGATCCTCCACGTATAAGCCTCCCTCTCATTGTTGTTGTAAGGGATTCTGGTTGCTCGTGAATTTCTTTCTGCATGTAGTGCTCGTATTTTCCTTTATTTATTTGTTCAACTTCCATTTCCAAAACTGAGAGGGCACGTTGGACAGAAGAAGGTCTTGTTAGACCTCCATTTGATTTACCTTTAGTATGGTCAACCTTGAAAATGGATGCACCTCCATCCTGGACCCACAGCCAATAATAAAAGTTGATCCAAGGTAAAAATGACTTAAATGCAACTTTTCCATTTTAGAATGCCCATTAGAAAGCTAATTTATTTGTTACACAGTCATGAATTCAATGTTATTCTTGTCAAAATACTCCTTGAGGGCAGGAAAACAGAAGACCTTCCATTTCTTCTAGATATTAGCTGTAATGAAACAATAAATACAGCCTACTACTGGGATTTACTGCTTCTAACAAGATAAACTGTACAGAATATTTTGCAAGAATAAGGATAAAGACAATATATTTCTATAATCCTACGCAAATTGATGTGATTGCAATTCGCAACTAAGTTATACTTCTTGATAGCTCGATCATTTAACTTGATCATTTTAAATGCCAAGGGAAACACTAAGAAATATAAAACTGGATACTGTAATCAAGCAATGTAACAAAGTACCTTTAGGTGAACAACTTCACCATCCTCTATCACCAAAACTTTTTTAGTGTGCTCCACCAGAGCACTTGGGTCACTTGACAAAAAGAGTTCTTTTGGTTGTCCATTGCTGGAAAGAAAGTTTGCGTCGTTAAAAGATGCTCGACTGGCCTCTTCTGTCAACTCCTGTAGCGAGATCAACGTCATCTCTCAGACATGTACTTAAGGTCACTTCCTTAATTCTTTATTCTTAGTTCATAGAAATTTTTTGTGATCCAAAACAACCATGCAGATAATAAACTAGAAAGTCCGCTACTGAAATTGGTTTGATGCAAATCAGGCGAGAAGAGTCCCAAACGTGCTAGTGAACTTACACTCACAGGATATATACAGATGATATGTTCCCTCAAGGACCATAAAAAGAATGGAAATTAGCCTTGGAAAGAATATGCGTGTGTGTATGTGTGTGCGCGATGAACATATATTCTTAATAAGCAAAGATTTCTCTTTTTTATGATTATAAACTGTAGGACGTATATGCAAAGAGTTTACTAAACTAGATGAACAGATAAGTTTTAAGGTAATGTGTCGAATATCTTACTTTCACTCCAAGGACCAACGGACTGCCACGTTTGCAAGCAATCAGTTCATTGGGATAATGTTGGCTTTTAAAAATCAGAGCATATGCTCCTTCAAGATGCCTCAATACTTCAAGCACAACTTCACTAAATGTCACACTCTTGTCACCTACACCAAATAGTTGCATAAGAGACAAGTGAAATTGTGACAAAAAAGTTTTCCTGTATATAAGGATAGAGAAAAAGAAATTATACAGAACAAGCAGCATGCTAGATTATTTGATAACTTCAGTCAACTCGAAAAGGCCAGGAAAATAAGACAAGGTAACTGACAGCTGTGTCTGATACTATTCACAAGATAAGGAAATAAAAGATGAAACCAGCTTTACAAAAGCCCTACACTTGGACCTTGGTACCGGGGTGTGCACGAAAATTTTCAAATTCTGAATGTAGCTGTAAACTCATGTGTCTACATGTATTCAGTACTTCATCAGAATAAAGGATATGCATTAATTTGAAGATAATCCCATTGAAGACAATAGGTGAGACAATTTTATTTTTTTCAATTGCAGATTTTCCATTCGAAAACTAAATATAAAAAATTATTATTAAGTTTCAAACAGAAAACTAAAAAGCTCCACCAGAAAAGCTAGATATGATAATAAAGATAGAAGGAAATCTAAACCAGAGTACCAGATTGAACTTCCACCTTCCCCACAAGGTCGATTAGGAATACACCATAGCTAAACTGACTAAAGTGTGTAAATTTTAAGTGGATAAGTGTTGATCTATCAAGTAACTGAAGAAGGGTTTAATATAGTCAACATCCTACACTAACTGTTACATCTGCGTGGAAACTGTTTCTTTATTTTGTGTCTAACCATGTGAATTGATGAAACATAAACCAACTGCACATATTGTCCCTTCTAATAGATGAAATTTGTTACTGAATGGTATGCTGGAATTAAGAACTACAAGAGAAGACGGCAGGAAGATTGTTAAAAAGAAAAGAGAAAAGACGCTAGAATTAAAGCATTTACTTCCACAGCCGCAAAGAAAATACCTTCCTCAATTGCATTATCAAAGACAAACTTCGCAAGCTTTGGAATGACTTCGGTATCTGTGTCAGATTCGAAGGTAAAGCCATGTCGAACTAGTGTCTCTTTTAGCACCTAAAGACACATATAATAATGCATAAGTATCATGAATGAGAACATGACAACATACAAGTATGACATATAAATGAAATCTGTTTTCAACTAATAATGATATTCCCAGAATCTTTAACAGCTGGTTTAGTTAGGTGTGTTCCGAGTAATTAAACAAAGCCGCTATCTAGTTTAAGCCGCTATCTAGATATTTCAGGATAAATATCCTAAATGTACATTTGAAACTGAATTGAACTTATGCAAATCACTAAAACTAGCTATATTCGGGCATTGATCTTTAAATAAGATATATAATTCGACAGAGTACATTGATAGTTTGATATGTTCAATGCTTCAGAACTGAATCAGTTTCTAGAGATAATTCTCTTCTTGTCAGCCTCAATAGGAGCCTTTAAAGTTGAATTTCCCCATTGGCTTCAATTCCTTTTACTCTTCATCAAGAAGTTACCACATTAGATAGATGATATGGTTCTATAACTGGTCATCCCATTTACTAATCCATTTCTCACAAAATAAGCAAGAATCATAGTTAAGAAGTAGAGAGAGCTTCTTAAGTTCATTGCCACTTCTGTGCCAGTCCCAAGTCCCAACTGTATGTTAAATGACTTCTCCAAAAAGATAATGTGAATGCAATGTCTCCTCAGCAACTTAGAAACCAATTTCAAGAATAACCAAGGGTTTTATTAGTTATCATGTAAAATATCTTATTACCAGTTAAAACTGTGCATGCCATGTTCTACTAGTTGTGATGACCAAAGCTCAGCTCCCATGCTTAAAATTACCTCTCAGAGTCCCGCACATATATGAGGAAAGGCATAACGAAAAACAAATAATATTTCAAGTTTTTTTCCCTCGAGAACAGAAAGTAAATAACTTTTACTGTTTATGACTAATAATTAGTATGTATATCGCAGCATTTATACCAATGGAAAAAGTCGCTCAACATATTAACTTGACATAACATCATCAAGCATTTGTTAAAAGATTAAAAGCAAAACAAAAACAGGCAGTAATTGACAAGAGAATATTGACCTCATAATTGGTTATGATTCCATTATGAACAACCACAAACTCATTTCCGGGACCAGATGTCTGAGGATGAGTATTCTTTGGAGCTGGTTCTCCATGTGTAGCCCACCTAGTATGTGCTATTCCAGCATGAATCTCAAATGACTCTTCCAAATTTAAATCCGTAGCAGCAACCTCTGAAAGTATGCAGCAAAAGTAAAAAGTAAAAACAAACTCGTACAAGGGCTTTAGTTATAAGAAACATATTAAAGAAAAAGCTGGAACAAGAACCCAAGATGTATTTAGTTGAATTCCAACTTTCATGCCTAGCTGACCATAGGTGAACTGAAGAACCCGTAAAAATGTAGGAGCAAATTAACTTTAAACAATACACAAGATAAAGATAATAAAGCTAAAGATCCGCCGCAGTACTAAAATCTTCCTCCTGGTTTTGATGAAGTCCTGCACATGGTCTGTGGAAGATATTGAAACCCACTAAATGCAGTTTCAACAGTTGAAATAGAATCTCAAGTTACAGGACCAAGATCCTCATCAATACAAGAAGCCCAGTTTTGAGTATCTAAACTAAACAAAACCCATTGAAGGGTTCAGCCAAAAACCCATCATCCACTAGACCTGAACAGCCCGTCACATTCAGTTCAGAAGAAGACATAAAAGAAACAATAGAACAGACTTTAACCCCTCAAATAAAAACCAGGTAGAAGTCGCCGCCCACAGTGAACATTATAAGTCACAAAAAAATACATTTGGAAAAAGAAAAGAGGGAAGCAAACAAGCAAATTAAATACAGCCAAAAAAAAAAAAAACACGAAAATTCACCTTGATATACAGATTTAACGAGGGATTCGATGTTGCCTTCCTGACGGAAAACAAGAGGCGGAGGTATAACAACGTCCGCTGCATTCGACGACGAGTCAATCGAAATTCCGGCGGAATCATAGCCTCTGTACTCCAGGCGGCGGAGGCCATTGAAGAGGACCTCCAAAATGTAGCGCCTCTCTCTGGCGATGTTGTAATTGAGATACGCGAAAATCCCGCACATTTTTTTGCTTCTACTTGTTGGGATTGGAGATGAAGGTGGAGAGAGATTGGAGGGTAAAATCCAAGGTATTCCTTCAAAATAAAACAGTTAATTGTTATGGAGACTTTTTATGTGAAGGTGATGGTGTTCTGACCAATAAGCGGCGTTTGTTTTTGTCCATCTGTCCAAATTCTCTCCCAAAAATTGTCAACTCTGCAAATATCCTAATTCAGTAATTCCTACACACACAAGGGAATGGAGTTGTATACCATATCCCGAGTTCGACGAAGAGGGTTTAGCGCAGTGGCGCATAACTCACTCGGCGTATATTATATCCCGAGTTTGAGTTACTAGGAGGGAAATTGGGGAACCAGAATGGAGTTGTATAGATAACATGTTATGGCACCTTTATGATAAATCATAATATTGAACTTTCCAATAAAACAAGATATGCAGCTACAAGAAAAAGTACCATTTAATTTGAACTAAGTACAATAATGCTAATTAAAAAAAATACTAAAATTAGTTTGAAAAATAAAATATAAGAGAGAATTATTCTATTTAAATTTTATTTTTTTACTGCATTATTCTATATACTAATGTAGAATGTTTCGATCTTATATGTCGATTTTTTTGCGTTGAGTCGAATTTTTGATACTTTGTAATTGGTTTTGAGTAGTGCAAGTACATCTGCACTTCTATGGCTATGTTTGGTAGACAAATAAGCTAGCTTATAACTTATTTGGTTAGCTTATATGCTCCCTGTATTCAAATAAGACTCGTTTGGTAGGACGAGCTTTTATAAAAAGCTCGAGCTTATTTGATAAACTTCCTTATGTAGCTTTTCAAATAGTAGTTGAATTTTTTATTTCAGCTAGCTTACCAGCTAATTTTACCAAACACTTTTATCATATAAGCTAGCTTATCAACTATAAGTCATAAGCTATAAGCTAAAAAATTACTGATAAGCTATAAGCTATCTTATCAGCTACTTTTACCAAATATAGCATATATCTGTCTGTTAGGACATTTAAAATTATAAATCACTTGATTAACTTAAACTATTAATATATTTTAAAAGTTAATAACTTTTTGTTATGTTTTTAAAAAATTATTCTTAAATTTTAAAATTAATGAGAAAACTATATTACTATATATTTTAGAATGATATGTGTTACTTATGACTTACATGTGTTATATTATATTAGTTTCTATAACTTATATCATATAACTACTTGAAATATAAATATATTAGTTGATAAATAATTTTATTTTCTAATTAATATTAAAAATATTTTTATTATTGTTATAAAGATAAATATAAATTATTTTTGTATACATACAATATGAATGTTAAATCGAAGCTCATCAAAAGAAGATCAATTTGATATATTACATATGTAAAACTGATAAAAAATACATAAGTGATTAACTTTTAAAATATATATACAATTCAATAGTTATAATAAGGAATGATATTAAAATGCAATTAATACATGTAACATGACCATAAATAAGTAACATATTTATGGTAATCTGAACTTAATTATTTTTGGTTTGAAATTAAATTAAAATTTACCCAAGCCTAATAACGAATCATGTAATTTTGCCACACAGGATTCCGAAGCACCAGAAGAAGCCACGTAGGCTCAGCGCTTTCTGGATTAATATATAGGGGGCATTAATCGTTTCACAAAGAGTTTCGGTTTGACATCCATATTGCATGTATAGATAAATTTGTATAATTACCATTATAATAAAATTTTTATTGTATATCAATATTAGTTGAAAAATAATAAAAGGCGTAAATAAGAATTGGAGAGAGAATTTTTTAATGTATGTTTGGTGTGTCTCCATTCAAAACTAAGGAATTTGAAGGGGAAGAAACTTTCAATAAAATGAAATAACTATTTTACACTTGCTATTTATTATTATTATTATTAATAATATAATTATTATTATTATTATTATTATTATTATTATTATTATTATTATTATTATTATTATTATTATTATTATTTTCTTGTATATCATAATATGGCAATCATTTTTTTTATTTTTTATTCTTTCTTATCAAAATTCATTTTCTAACCAAATAAAATTTATCATTTTCCTTCTACTTTTCCTCCACTCCCTTGAACCAAACAGGTCGAGTCGCGACACTGATAATTACCCCCGACTTCCAAATTCCTAATTTATACCAAATGGCAAAACCCTAACCAGCAATCATTTGATTGCCACAATGGTTTGCATCAGGAAAGCAACGGTGGATGACCTGTTGGCGATGCAGGAGTGCAATCTCTTCTGCTTGCCAGAGAATTACCAGATAAAATACTCTCTCTATCATATTCTCTCGTGACCGCAACTCCTCTAGTCGTAGAGGATTACAACGACAAGATTGTCGGTTACGTTCTGGCCAAGATGGAGGAGGAGTCCACCGAGTGCCACGACCACATAACTTCGCTCGCCGTCCTCAGGACTCACCGCAAACTCGGCCTCGCCACTAAGCTCATGACTGCCGCTTAGAACGGCATGGAAGTTCCTACTTTGTAACAACCCGCATAATATTACTAAAATCAGAGCAAATTTTTTGCGCTTATAATTTGAAAACACTGAATTTAATTATTGAAAACTCTTTATCTTGCGAGATGCTACCAACTGCTTGTTGGATTCTGTTAGGAACGTCAGCAATGTGCACATTCAAATCTATTGAATAATAAATCCTAACGCAATGAAATCTATAGTTAAAATTAAGAATTAAGGTTTTAATATTTTTGCCGACTCTGAGACGTTTCTGATTACCGCTGTAGGAAATCGTTTGATCTGCAGAGTCCGTTGGGTAGCCGTACTTGGCCTCATCAATGTG